ATATATATATATATACACAGACTATGCTTCCAGTGTCTAAGATCTACATACATGCACGCACGTGCGTGCACGTACCTGTTTGTGTCCGCGCAAATGGTTAATCTCCCACCCTCACCCCCCCCCCCCCCCCCCCCGAGGCTGCTGCCGACATGGCGAAGAGCATCGGAGCCTCCACCAGATGACCAAAAGGAAATGACAGAGCTCTGGGCTGGCTCGGAACTGCACAAGCAGTTCACCTTTCACCGATGATCTGCGCTTGGAGCTGGTGTGAAAACGTCTCAAAATCCCCTGTTCTTCAACCTTCCCACATTTGTCTGCAATGTTCGTCACCGTTCGTGCAGAACTTTGAGACAAGGCGCGAGCCGAAGATGTTCGTGCGGGCAACAGCCCTGCAAGCTTTGAGCCAGATGGGCCCAGCCTTGCAAATTGCGACCTTGCTTCCAGCAGCTAGGTTACATACAGTGAATACAGGCTGCAAGAATTTCATGGATTGTTTGTATCAGCCAGCAATGCTCCGCACCAACAGCCAGTGTCGCTGCCTGCGCTGAGCAGTTGCTTTTGTCGGGGTCACGGACCGCTGCAGGGTGTCTCGGCTGTACAGAGTTGGAAAACTGCAGGTCCTGCTAATGTTCAATACACATGGACATCGCGATTCCCATCAGGGAACGACAGTCTCTCAGTCCGCAAGTCCTATATGCTTGGCTGAGTCGTGTGATCGACGCAGACCCTCGTGCACGTACTTGAGTTATCACTTTGGAAGACCGATTGCACACCACATCAACCATCGTCGCATCTCGACTTCGCGACACGACCCTATCGCTACATCGCCGCGAGTGCCAAGCATCACCTGTACTCGATCGCCAAGACAATCATTATCGTGGTGCAGGCCTGCAAGACATGATATGTTAGAGTCAGAGATTTTGCAAGCACTGCTAGATTTTGTTCTGACAGGAGCCTGTGCCAATCCGGGCTTGAAGCCGTCGGTGTTGTGGCCCACAGACCGTCGTCTTGGAACACTGATGCCAAGCGCTTGCCCACAGTCTGCCACTGCTCGACAACAACCGGTGACGCACTCCACGGGCTCATGGGGCTCACGGGGGTCTTAGGGCTCCAAGGACTCCAGGGGCTTGCACTGGCGGGGCTGGCGGGGCTTTGCAGGCCGGCCACATTCCCTGGAAGAACGTGTCCAGACACACAGCTTCCCGGCGTGGCATCCTGGAAAATGCTCGCCAAACCGCATGAAACTGCCTTCCACTGCTCGAGGTGGATGGGTGAGGCTCGAGGAAGGTTGGGTGAAGCTGACAAAGCCGGCGAAGTTGGTGCGGAAAGGACGTCCACGTGACAGGAAGTGCCTAACAACTCTGCGGACGCTGCGGCCTGCTCTCTCTGAGTATGACCAGACTCGGGGAAGAACGGGGATCCCAGAAAGCCCGAGCTCCTTCGCGGGCCGACGCAAGCACCTGCGACCGCCATCTTTAAGCTCGGGACCTGATACGAGTCTCTCGCCACTCTAGCCGCCTCTATAGCCCTTCTTTCTCCTTTCGAGCCAAGAATGCCCGTCCAACTTCACATGCCATGCCAGTGCGAAGAAAACAAGACTTTGAACAGCATGCAAGCACGAAGCTCCATTTGCCATTGCACATCGACACTAGCCTCTCTGCAAAGAGGTGGCCAAGCATTTGTACAAGGCAATTACCAGGTTCGTGGTGCACACAACGATACTTTGTCATTGCCCTGCATGTGGGCAAGGAAGGCTGCTTTGCTCCCTTCACCACAGCTGAAAGATTGCTGCTAAGATCAGAGCCGGTGCTCCGCAAAGAATCGCAGCTGTCGACGTCTGCAGTCCAGGGTCGAAATCAGACGAGATGGAATGCTGTGTTCACGACCAGAAACTAACGAGAATGCCAAGTAGGCCCAGGGACAGTGGCCGCCTCCGTGGTCGTCGTAGTCGTGGTCGTCGTAGCTTCGGTTGTCGTAGTAGTGGCATTTGGATCCGTTGTTGTCGTCGTCGTGTTCAAGACCTCAGTCCAGGGCATGGAAGCCTTCCTACGGGAAAGGGAGATTGGTTAACAGGAAGTGTTGCGTTCTCCAACGAGTGGTGCGCTACCACGAGGTTTTGGGGGCTCCAAAGAGAACCATTCCCAACAGAAAACTCCATGCTGTCCAAGAGGTACCATGGCAGAGACCATCATCTCTTCAGCGTACCACCTCGGCTCTCACTCTGTCCCCAAGAAACATCAGTGGAAGCATGTGCAGCAATCAGACTTTTGCCTGCTCTCCTTCTTTGTGATTCCAAGAAAGATACGGACACTACTCAATCAGAACCATGACCAAGTCCGTTCACACCCTCCAAAGCTTCGAATTCAGATCCAAGATGCATCTCATCGACGCTGCCACCGGCACCGCATAGAGCACGGAATGTGACCTCATTCTCCATCCCTGAAACCACGGGACGGTTCTGGGAATCGCGCTCCGAGACAACCTCTAAATTCGCAATTGGACGAGAAGTACCAATCAAGTCTTTTTTTGTTGAGACTGAGGCGAAACTGCCAAACACAAATGTCCTGCCCTTCCAAACGCAGTCAAACCGCATCACCAGAGGTTGGTGCCGTCCACGCATGTTGCGTGCTCGTGGTCTTCGCCTGAATACCGGGCAGTACTACTTAGGACGACTGGACACACTCTCGAAACTGAGCAACCTTACTGCCCCCACGACCCTACCAATTGCACCCCAAGGCGAACCCGCCAAAGCTCGACGGACAACGCCGATTCCGAGCCAACACAACTGATCCTACGTGGTCCCCACCGCAGCGTTGGAGACCATGCCGTTGCTGAAAGTTCCACCATTGGACACTAGCTTCTGTCCTCAGTCCACCAGGGATCTGCAGTTTCATGCGTAGGGCGATGCAATCGTGTAATTACCAATTCAAATTCCATGCTTTCGCATCTGCAGTGGGGCAGATCTGGATGGAACACCGAGTACCAGTAAACTAGAACCGCCAACTTTCATTACGGAGAAGGTCAACATGTTCCAACTCTTTTCCTCAAAGGGCTCAGCACCAAGGCTGACTCGAGAAACATCGAAAGCGGAGAACAGAAACAGGCTGAATGCTTCAAGGGACCCAGTGCAGTGGTCGAGGTGACTGTCACCATGTACCTTCGAAAAGACACGAAGGGCCCGTGTATGCCCCTCCCGCCTTCAAGACTGTGTCAGTCGAGGTCTTTGACGGATCCGGCTTCAAGCCACAGGAGGGAATTTCGGCTTCAGGTCTCAACAAGGATCCTGTGTTGAAAGTTGGAAGTCCACAACTCCAAAGCAAGTAAGAACTAATGTGTAGTGTGGGATTTTTGACGGCTTAGCCTTTATTTTAGTTCTGAATGTTGATCTGGTGTCATAAATGAGAAGGACTCCGCTGCACTGGTGTCAGATTTCCCACCAGTACCCGAAACCCAAGCCCGAAACTCTCAAGCCCCAGAAGATCTACACCCAGCCGAAGAATCAGAACCTGTAGAGGCCCGTGACTTTCGAATGTGTTTTCACGAGCTGTCCGGGCTAAAGCTTGCGAACGCTTTGCCTAAGCCCTAGAACTTTTGAATGCACAGGACATTTGCAGTGTCTTGCTCCCCGGGTTACATTGGTTGCTTCGTACCCCGATGGTTTCACCTTGAATTCGCTGATCGGGTCACCTTTGATTGCCGGATTGTCTCGAAAGGTTTGATGTTTACCTACCGCTCGGCTGCGAGCCCCCGCACACCATGAGCCTCAGCAAGGACCCGAAGTACAACAGAACCCTGTCGCCGCTGTGTCACAACAATAAGGCTTTGGCATCAGCCCTACGGAGACAGAGACAGACCTGTCACAACTGTTAAAAGGAAAAGCTTCATGCATCACCAGGCAAAAAGGGGTCTGTGCTTACCATCTTCTAACGCTTGCCCTCATGGAGTCTGCACTGGGCATTGTCTAGGCCGCTAGATGGCACTGGGCTCGGAACATTCGAACTTGGGAGGTGTGTGAGGCGTCACGTTTGTTGAGACAGGGTGCGACTCTCCAGCGGTGTAGCCTCCGCTCGGCACATCTGTGGCAATCTTGCAGGTGTCGCCCGACGTAGCCCCTTCGCATGGGTCGAAAACTTGATCCGGAGCTCAGTGTCTCCAAAGAGTACACTGAACGGCTGGTCCGCCAGAGTCGCAACATGTTGCAACATTGCACCGCAGCTCGGCTGAGACTCCTTGTATGCTGCAAACCAGAAACACAACTCAACCGGAACCTTTCACTCCACATGGCCACATGGTCGGAAACACAGAGCACAACCTACAAAACCCAGGCCCTGCCGGCATGCCTATGTTTGCGATACCCATCGGCCCGAAGGCGCTTCCAGGTGTGTAGCCGCCCATGCAGGAGAAGTCGCAGGTCAGGGACTCCGGCCATGCAGCCGCCTGGCAGACCGCCCAGGAACCGCCACATATCTGGACAACACGTTCACTCGAGCCTGGAAGAACAAAGACAGAAGCCCTCCCCATCGCAAGAAAGCCATGGTACCACAAACCTTGGATAGGTTCGTTGTGCTTGTGAACTTTTTTGCACATTGCCAAACGCTGCGACACCGTGGCAGGTAGACAGATGTCAATCGACGTGGGGGAAACCCTGCTGCGACACAAAGTCATACTTCGCGATACAACCCATGCAAGCCACAAACCTACGAAGGGGATCAATGATCAATGATTCCAAACACACCACAAAGCCCGATGATGTGGTTTCGCCAACCGGCATCGGAAACCATATGAAGCATGCAGCTGCCCATGCAAAGCCGATGCATGTCCCATAATCTCCGCTTCTTCACACTTTAGTCCAGCTGCGCGATTCTTCACGGTCCCGCGAAGATCCCAACTTGGTATGTCAACGGCTGCAAATCGGAGCTCATCGGCTTGGCGGCTCCATCTCACTTCTGTGTCGAAAATGTATACGTACGTGTGAATGCTAAAGAAGTTCTCACATGTCACGTTGCATGGCAAATTTGGCAGCAAGACAAAAACGGCATGTTGCACTATTTTGCAGACCTTGCCACACCTTAAACCAAACTGTTTTTGTGGATTTCCGTCCACGGTGGTGGCGATGGGTTTTTCTGTCGGGGTTGGGATTGGCTGGTTGGTTGGCTGGCTTGCCTGTTGTTACGCTCTATTTCCCCTCGGTCCCTCCTGTCCCTCTCTTTCCCTCTCTCTCTCCCTCTCCCTCTCTCTCTATCCCTTTCGATGATCGCCAAATGACGGGCATGCTTAAAACGGATGCTGAACTGGAATCGACAAATGATTTGGCGCGTTTAAGATTTATGCTCGTCAACAACAGCAACAACAACGAGTGTCTGTTGAGGAGTGCACGTGTGTGTGTGTGTGCGCTCGGAATGCAAAATACTTCCCCAGGCACGTGCAAGTTCGTTTCAACATGACATCCGGTCAGCAAAAACTCCCTCTCCCTCTTTCTCTCCCTCTCTCTGTTCCTCTGCCGCCTCTCCCTCTCCCTGTCCCTTAGGAAGATGCTTTAGGCACTCGTTGGTGGGGCATTCGAGCCTGTGTATCGCACTGCCAATGCCAATGATGCCAACAGCCAACGAAACGAATTCAGTGCTCGAATCACTCCCTTGACTTGCTTCAACGAAAGCTTGACCTGCAGTCTTAAAAATTTAACCCGACTATGTGGGCCTTCACTGAACTGCAGCAGAATGGCAGAATCACCAGAATGGCCAAAGTTTCTCTTGACGATTTGAAGAATTTAGAAGTTATCTGTTTTTCTTCTCAAATTTTCGAAAATCCTACTCTGATTAGGCCGAAGTCATGCAGCGGACAAAAAGCAAATCTAACTAGATTCAGTGGCCGGCACTGGCCAGCCCGGCCTACTTTCACCCAAAAACCCTAAACCGCACAGTTCCGCACACTTCCGCGCAGTTCCGCGCACTCCGCGCGTTTCCGCGCGCTTCCGCGCACACTCCG